TAGGTAGTGGGCTCCAAAAAGCCAGCTCCTGTACCAGGGATGGATCCTGATCCTACTGCCAGAGGGCCCCTTAAGCAGATCAAAGCTACACAAATGTCTTGTTTATGTAGAGGGCTAATCCAGTCCCATGGAGACTCCACAGCTATTGGTCTAAAGTTCATGAGTTCTCACTAGTTTGGTTTGGTCATCTCTGTAGGTTTCCACATCATGATCTTGTCCATCCCTGTTCCTAATATATAATATGCTATTGCTCTCTTTCTGTATTCTCAATAAGAAAATGAGGTCACTGACTTGGAAAGGTATTTTATATGTTTATTAATGGTTTGGTCCAGGAAGCCATAACAACCCAAGACTGTCTAGGAGCTCCTGATGAAAGCACAAAGGGAACTTTAGTCCAGTGTCCTCATCCAAGATCAGACATGAAGCCAGTCTGACACTGGGGCCATTGCCTCCTAGGAGATGAGGTTGCAGGTATGTGGACAGGACTCTGCCTCCTGGGCTTGGTTCTTATCCTGGAGGATCTGGTTGATGTTCCCCATGCTTTCTTTCATAAAACTGATTTGTCTCTCTGCTAAACTTGTCCCTTTCCCTACTGCTAATAGTATATGAGATAGTGTGTTTCTTAATAGATTTGTGTGGTGTAAGGCATAACTTTTGCAATATCTCTCATCTAACTATTGATTTTCTCTTCTTTATTTCTTAGACTAGTGTAGCTGGAGGGTCTTTTGGTCTTGCCCAGCCCCAGAGACCCTGCAGCCACTTGTAAAATAATCATTTAGAACAAGCTTATATTAATTAAAACTGTTCAGTCATTAGCTCAAGCTTACCACTGACAAGCTCTTACATTTAAACTAACCCATTTTGGTTAATCTATATATTGCCACATGTTCCATGGCTTTACCTGTGTATCATTACATGGTGCTCCTTAGGTGGCTCACTGGCATCTCCTGACTCAGTCTTCCTCTTCCCACAATTTTTCTTCTTTGCTTATCCTGACTATACTTCCTGCCTGGCTACTGGCCAATCAGCATTTTATTTATCAGCCAATCAGAGTAACACATTCACAGCATACAGACATATCCACAGCATTAACCCCTTTCTTTTTTTTCAAAAAGGAAGATTTTAACTTTAACATAGTAAAATTACATATAACAAAACAGTTATCAAGTAAGAATTATAGTTACAAAATCTAGTCTATTTGTATTTGGCAAAATTAAAGAAAATATTCTATCTATCCTATATTTGTTAGTCTAAAGTTTTATGTCTAATTTATCTTTTATCATAACCAAGGAAAATAATTATAGCTATCTAGTCTTCAACTGCATCAAAGAACTCAGAATGATATAATATTATCTAAGTAAACAGGTAGAGCATTGTAAGCAACTTAGACTAGGTCTTCCCACTCAACTCCTCAATTTTCTGGACCCTTACTCATGCTTGTTTAGATCAGTTCTGAATTATTCTGGTTCATGCTACATTATATTAAGGTGACTTCATCATTTAAATTTCAGCTTTATCGAGACATAATTGACAGAAGGTATATATTCAGGGTAAAAATGTTTAAAATGTTTTACATGCATCTTCATATGCACATGTGTTAACAATGAAAAAAGAGGTCTTGAATTTGAAGGAGAGTAGAGAAGGATCTATGGAAATGTCTGGAAGGAAGGAAGGGAAAAGAAAAATGCTGTAATTATAGTGGAATCTCAAAAATGAAAATTAAAAGACAACACAAAAAACGAAACTTTCTTCATTCCTTTCTTCTTTCCTCACTTTATGCATTGGTCACTAACAAAGCATTTGCCTTTTTTATAAAATGCAGGTACAACAGAATCAGAGTCCTCAAATTTCTCAGGATTTCCTAGAGACTGGTCATGTCTGTGCTATGACTATGCACCTGAGACAGATCTTGTTTTCTGGTATCCCTGAATCCTCCCTCTCCCACAGAATGCAGAGTGTGGATCTCCATGGATTGGTAGAGGCCAGAGTATATTCTCAGGTTGGACTTTTCTGCCTGGAAGGTGGGAGGTTCACATGTCCCTGTCTCGGGGTCACTATGCACAGCTGGGCATAGGTCACATCATGTGGCTCCTCTGTTGTAGCAGCCTGCAGTGGGAAAATGTAGAAGAAGGTTTATGTTGGCCACCGGGAGCATGGGGCACTAGAGAAGTCAGGACCCACCTGCTCATCTATCACTTGATTTGCTTTTGACTGTGTGTCATTTAAGGCCAATAATTCCTTTGGCATGAGAGAAGAAGAGGTGATCTCTGTCCTTCTGAGTCTTGAGGGCTTCACCTGGGCATACAAGTCTTTGGAGGGGACTTCCTCATGTTGGCTCTGCAGCAGAGAGACAATGTAAAAAGGGAGTTGGCCTGGTTTCCTGAGGCTCTCCACCCATTCTTCCACAGGGAGCAAGAATGATACTTCAGACATTTTTATCAAACTAAACTGTTGCTGATGGGGTCTTCTGGGACTTTCTAGGGACTTGAGTGCCTGCCATTTACTTCTCTGTGCTTCTGAAATATTATCCTGACACACTGATGTACTCTCTACTGCCTCCCTCTTTTGGAAAGAGAATGTCCCTACCCCAAGGACACTTGGATCTACCATGCTCCATACCTAGATGTGCCATGTCATCACAGGTTTGTATGAAACTCTACCCAGGCTTCTCCACAGAAGGCTTCTTTCAAATTCCCTTTAAATTCACACTGATCATCTCTGCCTTACATAACTCAACCCATATCCTCTAATATATTTCCCTCATACACTTTGCACTGCTCAGTCTCAGTTTATTTCCATATCATTTCCCATCTGAGCTGGTCACAGTGGGTAGAGAGTTCTGTCCTTGGCTATATCTGCAGCCCTGACAGAAGCATGGTCAAGAGGGAGACACGGGAGCTGGGGAGAGGAGTCAAGCAGCAGAGTCGTTGCTATGCAAACATGAGCACCTGAGTTTGACCCCCTGTGGCTGCATAAAAAGGGCCAAGCAGTAATTCACATGCCTGGGACCTAAGTGATGTTGAGGGAGCAACTAGTGCCCAGTGCTCAGTGTCACTAATCCATCCAAATAAATAGCACCATGGACATTAAGAGAGTCTGACAGAGAAAATGAGTTAGCGAAAAATAGATGAAGACATCACATCGGATGATGACCGCTGTCTTCTACTTGTGCTTAAACACATGTGCACACATGTTCTCAGGCACATGGATCTCACTTACTTGTCTTTCATGTTCATTTACTTGTTAGTTTTATCACTAGAGTTTAACACAAGGCCTTATACATCTAAAGTACTCACTTTACCATTCAGCTACAACTTATGACCCTCATTTTCTCTTTTGTGCCTCTAAAATCACTTTAGAAACCAGAGAGATGTTGAGGAGTCAGAAAGTTGGGGCCATATTGTCAAAGTAAACAAAGAGAGATTGAGTTCACAGCATACACAATATAGGTGATTCAAGAAACAAGGAGCCAGCTGTGGATGATACGAAGGGCTGAAGAGGGGAAGAACAGAGATTGCTGTGGCATTATATTGGGTCATAAGTTCTTAGCATTGTGGATAAGCAATAGTCTCACCAGGACCTCCAGCTCCATGCTATCTGCAGGCTGTGTGACCTTCACAGTAGCATCTGTCATAACAAACATGCAAGTTATCCCCTGAACAGATTCCCAGGACATCTCACATCCCCAGAACCCTGCTATATCCCACATATGGAAGAAGATGTAGGGGGTGTGGGTGTGAACCCACAGAGAGGGTTCAGTGTCCCAGGCCCTCCTACACCCCTGTGATGCTGAGATCTCAGACATCTCCCTCCTCCCGGGTCCTCTTCCTCTCACACAAGATTTCTTCCTGGATGGCAGGAGCTGGTGTGGATCTGTGGAAAGAAGAGGGTGTCAACTGACAGCAATGGAGTCAGGCAGGTGAGGTCAATGTTTCTGGGCATGAGTTACCTCTTCTGGAAGCTTTTGCCCTTGTTCGCTGAGTCTGCAGGATGTTGCAAGTCAGTCTTTGTCTGAACTGCAAGGGAGGAAGGAGCCTCAGCCAGGAGGGTTGAGCCCCCTACCTAGCACTTTCAGAAAAAGAAGGGACCAACTCATTGCATGTCTGTTAAAATCCTCCAGTAGATGGAAAAGTCCATACAACAGAGGACATTGCACACATTTCCAGATCTCATTTTATGTTGAGATGCTACAGAAATGTTTCTAAGCTCATGTATCCCAGTCTGAGCTTTCCCTGGGGCTGATGCCCTGGCCCCTGCTTAGATAGCCCACAGTGATACCCACTCCCCACTGAGACCCAGGCCTCCCACACCCTACTCACCCCCCTTCCTGTAGTTCTTCTGATGCCTGAGTCTGAGGAAAAGGAAGAGGACGAGGAGGAAGAGCAGGAGGAAGAAGGCCACAGAGACACCAATCACAGCCTTTTGGTATCCTTCCAGTTCTATGAGACAGAGGACATTATGAATGAAGAACTGTAAATTAGAACATACGGTGTGTGACTGAAGAGGCTATCACAGAGTCTTCATGGGTTTGGACTAGGTCCTCTGCAGATATGTTATGGTTCTTAGTTTGGTGTTTTGTGGGAGACTTCTGAGAGTGGTGGTGTGGGTGCATCTGACACTTTTGCCTGGCCTTTGAGACTCTATTCTTCTGACTCTTCTCCCTCACCTGCCTTGAGGTGAGGGTTTCTGCCGAATATTATGGTATCATGTTGTGCCATGTTAAGTTAATGCCCCTAAGTGGTCTTCTCTTGGAGGGGAAGATGGGACAGGAGTAATGGTGTGGGTGTGTGTGGGGGAACTCAAAAGAGTGAAGGGAATGGAAGTGGCAATTGGAATGTATTGTATTAGAAAAGAATCAGTCAATCAATCAATCAATAGAAAATAATAACGAACCTACTGTGTGAACACCCAATGTGGACTGTTTGTATTTACTACCTATCATTGTCATAGCCATGTACATGGGACCATCTTTGAACACTTCCAGTAGTTTTTCCTGCCCCAAAAGACACCCAGAGAGATGGTGCATTGCTGAGGATACAACCCCAAGTGTCTGTCCTCCCACCAAGTTTCCTACACTGGAGCTAATCCTCATGAAGTGGAAGGAATGATCCTGAATATTCTGCCCTAGCCCTGTACCAAACTCTGACACAGTGTCACCAACACAGTGCCGAATGGGGCAGAACTATTGCAGAACAGGATTCTAGAGTCTTTCTCTGTAAGTAGATGAAACAGGTAAGACCATCATTTAAAAGAATTAATGTCTATGCCAGGGCTCTCCCGTTTACACTTGGAGAAACTGAGAACCACACAAGAGAGGAGGCAATTGAAATTTGATGTGTGGCATGTGACTCTCTAAACAGCAGGGCTCAATTCTCGGAAATGAGGGGGCAAGGCTTGCCACCAGTGATGTTAAAGGCAAAAGGTCTCTAGAGATGAGTGAAGTGGACTGGACAGGAGCTATAGTACCTGTCACCCACTGCAAACAAGAATGCACCAAACACATAACTAGCCTGATGCCCCTGAACACACCCTGCAGTAGATTTCTTCCTCAGACCTCTGTGGTCAGGCACAGCAGTGATGAAGAGCTGTTGATCTTGGCCTGACAAAATAGGATGGGGAAATATGGAGAACGGACACCTGCTGTCATTTTATGTGTTTCAGCCTGGGACAGATAAAAATGTCACTCTTCCTCAGGATGCCTCTGTTGCAGCCTAGCTTCCAAACCTCGGAGTTTCTGGGGACCATATTGGGATCTCTGCTTCACACCCAGTAGCTTGGTCACCATTCAAGCTAATAAAGGAATGAAGACTCATGGGGACAGAGACTCTGCACACACTCAGGTGAAACAACGTCCCTAGACCAGAAAATCTAAAACCTCTATAGGAATGGATTTTTGGACCACAGGAGACTGTGGGAAATTTGTTGGGGGAATGATGTGAGGGAGGCTGCACTAAATATCTCATCTCTTCTCAGTCTTATATCTACACTACACCCCTCCAGCATCTCACAGCTTCCTCCCTGGAATCTCCTGGATTGCCATGAACAGGGTGAGATGGTTATTAATTGAGAAATCTCAGTTTACTTCTTAATCTCTGCATGGGTCAATTCCTAGGTCAATTGTCCCGGATTAACCTCAGAGCTCACAAACGTCTGGGTCACCTCACCTGAGACTATGATCTCCACAGGAACACTGGCATGTGACAGCAGGTAAGGGGATGAGCTGTTAGAACCAAAGCATATGTAAGAGCCCCCAAAGGCTGAGGTCACAGCACTCATGAAGAATTCTGCCTCATATTGTAGATCTTGAGACTTTGTTCTTTGTTGCATGTAGGGATGGGCTGCACCTTCCTTGAACAGAAAGAATGTGTCCACTGGGACTGATGATTGACACAGCAGGGTCACATTCTCTCCTGAGGACACAGTAGTGCCTGGATACACTGAGAGATTGGGTGTGACAGGAGGATGTCCTAAAGAGAAGAAAAGTAAGTGAGTGAAGTTCTATAGCCATTGTTCTGAGCCCCGTTTTCAGAACCTAATCTCTACAATTTAACAGGCAGCCCTTCATCCACTCCCTTTTTCCTAGACCTATTCCACCCTGAGATGCTCATCATCTTTTTGTTGATGAGTCCCAGGC